TTTTTTAGTAAAGTAATACTTTATTTATTATTAAATTAAAGTATAATAGAATAATTAAAATAATATAAAAAGTTAATCTAGATCATTCTTTATTTTAATATAAAAAAATTATAAAGATTAGTTAAAATTTAAATAATTTTTATTAAAAATAATTATTAATTTTATATTGATATATTAATTTTTTTGTACTGATTTATATTAATTTTAAAACTATAACTTATATAAATTTATTTATAATTATAATAATTAAAATATTATTAGTCAAATTAATTAACTTTAATTATATATTAATCTCTTATTTATATTATATAATTAAATATTTATTTTATTAGATTTTATTATAATTTACTTTATATAAAGTTATTAAATTTATCATAAAATAATCTTTTTCAAGAATATCAAAAATGATATTACTCTTATTATTTTGATATTATTTTTCTTAATTAAAATTTATATAATTAAAAATAATAATAATATTAAAAATTATTTTTTATAAAAATATATTAAGAAAATATAATTATAAAAATATAATAAATATAAAATCTTATTATAAAATAAAAAAAATAGTCAAGTTAGATAAGGTAATAATAATTAATAGATCAGTATCTCAATTTGATAATTTAAAAATTTTAGAAAATTTTTTTTTAAGTATATTCTTGATATAAAAAAAATAAAAAGTATATATTTAAAAAGAGTATTTATAAAGTTCAAAATATATAGTCTTACAAGCTAGAACCAGATTATACCATGTATTTAGAAAGGAGTTATATGGTGTATGCACTTAGAAAGATTTATCTGTATATGTTATAGACTGTATAACACTTCGAATGCAATGTTCAAGTAGCAGAAGACGGATAGCTCGGACTCACGTGATCCGAACTTTTTTTTCGCCATGGCCAGGGACCTACCTTGTGCGTTGCAACGTCATCTGTCAAACATATTTTCGCCATGATGTTATTTTCTACAAGAGCTGTTTTTGATTTTACTAAATTACAGTATATATAAGTCTCACGCACGACGACGATATTTCATTATCTATCTCTCTGTGTGCCGTTGGACTTTATATTTTCATGTTTCTTGTTTTCCCGTTTCCGCGAATCGTTTCTTATGCCCAACAAATTTTCAATGTAAGAAGCCAGCTATTATTCTCTCTCTATTATAATATGTGTTTGCGCGTGCGCGAATATTTTATAATAAATGCTACTTTTCGTTCTTCATTTATTTTATTTTTTTTTTGATTGTTGTTTTTTTTTTTTGGTACAGTTATGGAACGTAAATTTATTTCTTTGTTAACAATAGAAAAATAAAAACTTTTTTTCTCTTACCCGTCTATCACTCTCTTCTACTGTCTATTTGTTCTTTCTAATCCTCTAATAAATAAAAATAAAAAATAAAATATTATATATCAAAAAAATAATTAATAACAAAACTTGCAGAAAACGGTTTGTCCGTTCGTGTTCACGGCGTAATCGGGAAAGCGGACCTTTAATACCTGCTAGGAGTAACGAGCTTCGTGATATGACTTCAGACGTAACAGCACGACAACCTTCAAAGCATGGACAAGATCCTTTTACTTACTCATGGCCCATTAGAAGTTTTAATGAACTTGTGAATTTCTATCCGAATGGAGGATTTGTCTTGAGCGAACGATTTTGGTCACCAAGGCCACCACTTAACTCTGAATCAAATCCACACCACAATAACAACAACAACACCACATCAACGAAAAATAAAGATTGTCCATACCTGTGGCGAATCAAGCTATACCCGAATGGAGTGAATGATGCGGCGAAAACTCATATTTCTTTGTATCTTGTAGCAATCCCGACACCATACGAAAAACAAAATAACATTACATTTCGGGATAAAATGTTTCGTCTGGAGGTATTTAGACTTAATCCTGATCCTTCGTCATCATCATCAGCTGCGACCCCAATTCTAATTCGGAATGAGACATTCACAATGAAATTCGAGTTTGATGGACTTGATGATTTCGGTCGACACCGTTTTTGCTCGTTTGATAATTTATTTCCGGGAGGAGATTCATCGACAGATGTTGATCTGCTAATACGGGTGAAAATATTTAATAATGCCACTCCAGCGCCCGAAGAACCTATTGTACCGATAGAGTCGGAATTTCCGTCTTTTAAACAGCATCTTGATGATGGACGATTCAGCGACGTGGAGTTTACGTTTGATTGTGGATTACGGATTAAAGCTCATCGAATAATACTTGCCACGAGGTCATCGTATTTTGAAAAACTACTTGGCGATAAATGGCGAGAAGGACAGGTAACTTATAATATATTTACTCTTTAATTTTTTTATAATGATCCAAGATTTACTTTTCATTATGAATAATGATTTCATATATATGTGTATATGTATATGTATATATATATATATATATATCGATTAAAAAATAGATGAAAACAATCCCAATCAAACATATGGAATATAACACATTCCGCTCAATATTATATTATTTATATACGGGGAAACTCGAGGATGGATTGGAATTTGATGTGCTAAAAGATGTATATTCAAAAGCAGACATGCTAAATTTAGAAAAATTGGAGGAAATCGTTGCAGACCGAATTGCAGATATGGTCGATCTTGATAATTGGGATGAAATATTAATGTTGGCGTGGGAAGTCGGCGATACACATTTAAAAGAGGCTGCATTAAATTATGCAGTGTCAAAATGGACTGATATACGGGAAGGAGATAACATGAAAAGAGTTATGGGATGCGGTATGTGAATCTTTTTGTTCGAATAATAATATTAACTACTTTACAATATGATCAATTATTATTTGACAATTATTAATTATGTTTCTTTCATTCATGTACTATTCGCGAAACAAGGGAATATGGATTGGATTGAGGAATTGATGAATGCAGTTTTCAGAACAAAGTATTATTCCTGATTATGAAAAAATGATGATGAAATCTGACGATAATAATGTATTCTTGTTGGATTTTGACGAGACAAAAAAGTTTGGATTGACAGACGGATGAATTGGAATTGACCCTTCCCCCCCCTTTCATTACTTAATAATTCTTGCTTCGTGTTATAATTTTTGGCATGATTTTTTGTTATGTGATCCCGTTACTTAACACTTAACTTTTACTTGTTATTCTTTGAGCTAAACAAATTTTGAATTCTATTGGATATTTTAAAATAAACATTGAAAACTTTATATATTCTCTAGATCATCAAGAAGGTTAGTCATTTAGCTATTTAGCATTCATTCACTCATTCATTCATTCATTCAGTCAGTCAGTTAGTCAATCAGTCACGTGAAATTCCAGATTTAAATATTTTCATAACGAAAAAGATGGGGGTTAATGAAATAATTCAGGTATAGTGGATGCTGATTATTATGTATGTAATTTCTAGATATTAGCATTTTTAATTCTATGAAATAAGAGATTTGATGATAATTTATCGTAGAAACGAAGTATCTTAAGTATGATGGGTGGAGAATATTTGGGTTCGAGTGAATCAATGGCGAGACAAAAATAATAAAATGTAACACCCAGGCACATAAATTTTCAGACCAATTATAATTATATAATTGCCAAAATTTTATGTTATATAGATGTCGAGAATAATTTTTTACGCAGTATTTTTGTTACTTCATCTTATCCGATTGAAAATCAAAGGTAGTCAATGAGGAAGATTGATTGACAACTTTGAGGGTATCGGATGGAATTTTTTTATATTTCAAAGTGAGATCAACATTTCTTGAATAGATTATACAATTTATAACGTTTATTGATTGATCAAATAATTTTTGGATGAAAATGTCACAATGGTCTTTAAAGTTTGAGCATTTCGAATTTCCTCAATTTTATTTTGAAAATCAGAATACCATTGAACGATTTTTAATCTTATCCATTTCAGTTGACGTGAATCTTGCATTCTTTTGATCATTTATAAAAAGCGAGCAAGTACGCCATGAGTATGGATTTTGATTTTTTTCGTGTTGAGTGACAAGATAAACATCGAAAAAGAGAGAAAATTGTTTCATAAATTTCACCTTTTTATTATTGTTATTATTATTATTATTATTATTATCATCATCATCAATCTTTATCGAATACCTACGTAACAACGAATGTTATTTTAGTAGTTGATAAAAATAGAATGGATAATATCCTTTAAGTTAAATATCAGGGAAGCATATTCTCCACAAAAATTCTCCTTAAAAAATATTTTCTGAGGAGTTCAGTTTGAAACAGCCTTATTTTTGCGTAAGCTCATCATTTACAATTTTAAATTTTGGGAGAAAAAAATTTTTTTTATTTACCTTCTGAAGGCATGCACGTTCTAGACTACAAGATCAATAAATGTTTCGATGAAATGCAATCGATAAAAATCGTGATTGTCACGTGCATTAATGAATCAAGAAAAGAGTACCTCACTGGTTACCGAGGCGAACAGATAGTGAATAGCGACACTAACGACGAAAAAGTACATATAGATAAACAAACATGACGACACGTCGTATAAAACGTATTATTTTTTTTTTGGATTGATTAGTTTAATCATAATAATAATGTGTCGCGTAGTTATTAATGCCTATAAAACTTTCTCCTTCCGTTGTTCTCCCTTCATAACACGTTTAATGTAATTCATCAATACCTTGATATTCTCCTTCTTCACAGATATTGTTAGACGCGACGGAGATCGAATTATAGCCAAAGAACTACAACAACAGCAGCCACCACCTCCTGTGGGGAGTAGTTCTCAGGCAACATCGGAAGCAGAAGCTAAACATAAAAAAAAACAACCGGAAGAAGAAGAAAAAGCAAGTGCTCGTAGTACTGGCAGTAGCCATAGCAATAGTGGTAAAAATAGTGACAGCGAGTCAGAAGCCATGAATGTTGAACCTTCGGGAGGTGAATACTCTTCAGAAACGAATTCTAATAATAGTCCTATTCGTGGCGGCGGCGTTGGTGTTGATATTCGTAAGTTCAAAAAACGAGGAAATGCAGCAGTGAGGACTATCAATGTAGGTGAATGAAATTTCCCTTTCGTGTAATTTTCCAAATCAAATAGAGAAAAAAAGAATTTATCTCAGCGTTGAATTAAAGAATTTGATTATAGGATATTCTAAATGTTGATAGTAAATCGCCACTTCCACGTGATAATAACGAACCAGAAACCGCTCGACTACGAATAAGAATGGAAGATAATAAAACAACAGCTACAACATCCACAGCAACACCAATGGAAATAACAGCGGCTGATGAAATAACATCATCATCTTCGCGAACTCCATTGGATGAAAAAGGATCCATACATACCGCTAATATGTTACATTTTGATTCGGCCGTACCTGTCCGTGAATATTTAGACAAGACTGTGGTGCCAAACTTGTTAGAAGGGATGAGAATACTTGTTAAAGAGAGGTATCTATCTATCTATCTATCTATCTATCTAATTCATTTTACTCTTTTTTTTATGCATTGGTGTCTCATTTGTTTTCCCAATCTTATAATCATAGACCAAACAATCCATGTGAATTTCTTGGAAGATATTTAATCGATCATTGTGATCATGAGCATTCACCAAGTGTTTCTCCATCTAATAATCGACGGGGAAGTGGATCAAGTCTTGATATCGGAGGTAGCGAATAGAGATTTACGAAAGCATAATCAGTAAATATAATCATAGAAATTAAATTAGAAATAGAATTGAATTAGATTTCAATGCACACTTATAAAATATATACAACGTAATAAATTATGTTTTTTTACATAATCAATCATAAATAATTTTAATTAATTTCCGACATATTTCCAACTTCTTTTTCGAATTCATCTTCATTCATTTGGCCACGTCTAACTTTTTTTGCTAATCGTTCTTCTCTCTGTAATTCTTCCCATTCCGCCTCCATTTCAAGTTCATCATCTTCAGAATTGTCAATTTGACCACTACTATTATTATTGCCTGATTTCACTTCATCCATCTTTTGTTTTTTCAAATATTCTCTTTTCCGTTCTTTTTTTAATTTCCGTTTGATTTTTCGCTCTTTAGCCATTTGTTTTTCTGACCATGGCATATTATTTTTTCGATTCCTTTTCCTGTATTTATTAATTTATGTTAAATCTTTATTCGCTATTTGTTTGTTAATAAATAAATAAAAGTTATGTCATACCCGTCATTTGTTCCGGTTGTTATCGTTTTTTCTCTTGATTCCGCCAACTTTTTTAATCGTTTCTTCTCACGCGCTTTATCCAAAAATTTATATTCGTCCATCTGATAATTAATTAATTGTTAAAATAAAAATAATAATAAAAACATAAATTGAAAATATAGGATAACTACACACGTTGATTTTAATTTCTTCAAACTCGATTTTACGATCTTTCAATTCCGGCATTTTTGGCATCTTTAATAAGTATAACGTATAGCGTATTAATTATTATAACTAGTGACATATGGATAAATGAATATAGGTGAAGTCTTTACCTACCCTCAATAAACCATATCCCTTTGCAACTTTTCCAAAATCTAAATCTTTAAGTCTAAATATATAACTCGCATCATGTTTCGAATATGATCGAATATACGATACAAATGCCTTTATTCCCTTTTTAGTTTTTCATGATAATAAATAAATAAACCATAAGAGAATTTCATGCAAAATACAAACAAGAAATATTCTTATTTACCTTTTCATGATAATCACGATCCGTTAGAACCAGGTCACGAATCTGATTCAAGAACATTTCATTGTCATCATCTTGTTTAGGAATCATTTCTGAATCATCAATATTCTTATCATCGTCACCTTTAACTGTTTCGTCTTGAATTACATATGGCTTCCCATCCGCCAGGAAATACGACTGTTGTTGAATAGGAATCTTGCGAATTTTTAGAAAGTCTATTGTTATTAACTTATCGTTATTAGATTCATTATTTTCAGTTGCTATGCTGCAATAAAAATAATGCACACCTATATAAACTTCTTCTCTGCCTTTCCCGATAAATAATACAGCTTTTCCATCTTTTCCAGCTCTAGCGGTTCTACCACAACGATGTGAAAACACTTTGGGATCTTGTGGTGCATCCATCTGTATCACGAAATCCACATCGGGCACGTCTAGCCCACGAGCAGCCACGTCGGTGCAAAGAAGGAGGGCCGGAGATGTAGGCGGTAAACTTGCAAAAGAGTTATAGGTGGCTTTTTTTATACAAATTGTTAACTTTAATTTGTGATTATTACTTTTGTTAGAAATAATTGGTGGAAAATTTTACCCGATCGTCTTTTTGGATCCATTTGGCCATGAAGCGAATAGACAGAGAATTGCTTAAATTGTGGCAATTTGGCAAAAATCTAAAAATTTTTTATATTAATCATTCTAATTGTTTTACCTAAATCAAATGAATAATAAATACCTTGTAAAAATAATCAACACAGGCGCAAGTTGAAAAATATATAATAAATTTTTTTGCTAGAGTTTCAGCTTTTAAAAGTCGTAATAATTGCGATAATTTCTGATGTGGTTCACAAACAATATATGATATTTGTAATCTAGTGATTATCAATAGATATATTTGTGAGCAAAATCTTTTTTTCAATGAATACAAAACCGTGATAAACTCACGTGCTTGGCGTTCTTTGTTCATCTTTAGAAATCAGATCTTCCACTTTCACAACAATTCTCACGGGATTCCTTAGTCCCGCCCTCACTATCTCAGAGAGTGCATCAGTCATAGTAGCTGAAAATAGTCCAGTACGTCGTTGTCGCGGTAAATGCGCGATTATCTTTGTTAGTGATTGCATAAATCCCATATCAAGTAACCGATCCGCTTCATCCAGCACCAAAACCTCCAGCTCTTTTGTATTTATTGGACTTTTTACACCATTACGTCCTACGAGTAAATCTTCCAGTCGTCCTGGTGTTCCGATAATTATATCTGGTCCTGCTTCTAGAAAACTTGTTAAATCTTCTTTTATTGCTGATGATCCGCCACCTCCGATGAATAATGAATGTTTTAGAGGGATTGAAGTATTTTTTAGGAAAATTGAAAATACGGACGATATTTGTTGTGCAAGTTCTCTTTTTTAATGTTGAGTTAATAATTAGTATAAGCGAAAACTTGCTTATATTGATGGATCATAACTATTTACCTGGTGGGTGTGATAATCAAAGCTCCAATTTCATTCTTTTGAAAGGGAACTTTACGACAAATCAATTTTTCCAAAATAGGAACAACGAACGCAAGAGTTTTACCAGAACCTGTTACCGCCTAATTTTGATTATATAGAAAATAAATTTTTCTATTGTCATCCAATCGATGTCGATAAATTACCTCAACAACAACATCCTTATTTTGCATGAATAATGGAATAGTAGCAGATTGTACAGGGGTCATTTCCGTGAATCCCAACGACATCAAAGTATCTAAGCTGATCGATGAAGAATATAAAATCCCAAATCATATTATTTTACAATCAACAGCTGCTTAATTCTAAAAAGATTAAAAGGATTCGTCCTAACATGGGTTGACTTAGTTTGACATTTAATGTGTTCCATGACCCTGCGTTACTTGGAACTTGAGACATATTCTCTTTCGTATCTTATTTTGCTGAAATCGAAAATTTATTGGTCATATAGTCATGTGATTAGATTTATAGCAAAAAAAAATTAAAAATTTGACATTTATACATTTTCTCTTCTCTTGGTTTAAAGGTATGATATGTTATATATTAATCAAGTGAAATCTATTTTTATTGCATAACGGAATAATATAGTATGTTTGTTATAAAATTTACCTCATACATTCTCAAAATAGAGAAATACAAATATGAAAAAAATTTTCATGTCCAAATATCATATTTTTAAATTTTACAGATAAGACAGCGAAAATGCTTATTCCCAAGAACAACCGCAAACTTATCTACGAAAATCTTTTCAGGGGTGAGTCGTCCGTCATTTATAGTGATTATAATAATAAATCGGATTGATATGATTTATGTCTATTGAGAAAAAGCATCATTATCTATTTTTAATCATTTTAACTGATTCATTTTTCCCAAAAGAGGGTGTCTTGGTTGCCAAAAAGGACTTTAACGCGCCAAAACATCAGGACATTGATGTCCCAAACTTACATGTGATTAAAGCGTGTCAAAGTTTACAGTCAAAAGCTTACGTGCACACACAATTCTCATGGCAGTACTATTACTATTCGTTGACCAATGAAGGCATAGAGTACCTTCGTGAATACTTGCACTTGCCGTCGGAAATTGTCCCGGCTACCCATAAAAAACAGCCTCGCCCTACTGCTACTGGAGGAGGAAGAATGCCTCGCGGTAATTGGAAATAATAATCATATGTTTTATTGATTGATTGATTAGCGGTATTTAATTTCTTGAATTGACGATTTTTTTCCTCCATAATTATTTTATCAAACAGAGGAAGGAAGTCGACCTCAAGGTCGTGATCGTGGTGAATATCGTCGCAACTTTGAAGGCGCCACTAATGAAGGTGGCAAAGAAGGTGCCACTGATTTTAAACCAACATTCAAGCCGGCTGGAATAGGTCGGGGTAAAGGCTAAAAAAAACTTGCAAGTATAAAAAAGATATAGACTATGTAATATTTTTGACGTAATTTACTCTTTTTTTTAATAAGCTTTTTGTAAATTGCACAAATCTCGTAAGTTGAAACTCTCCGAATGGGGAAATCATTATATGGCACCAAAATTTATTTATTATTTAAAAATGATGGTTTTGGCTTATTTCATTTTTGATGAAAATGCGTGCATTTTTATGTAATCACCAAAATTATATGATATTTACAAATATAATATTATCAGTGTGTTATCATTAATTAATGTGGGCATTAATAAATCAATTTCCTTCACCAAAAAATACCACGGTCACCGTAATATCATCCCGATACCTTCTGGATATTGGGTAAGGTAGAGACAATAAAGAACACAGGATTTCTTGAACTGCGCCGCCTAAAGCATTTCTTATTAAATGCGTAGATGCATTTTCATCCACATATGCGAAATGTTTTGGTTTCTTTATTTCGCCATTCTCTTCGACATGATCATTGCTATCACCATTGCCATTACCATTAGATTGTATAGGTTGTATTGATTTTCCATCGAGAAATCCACCAACAAGCTTTGCAACTTCATCGTTACTTAATCTTTCCCATAGACCATCGGTGGCCAACACCAAGAATTTGTCGTCTTTACTAATTTTATGATGTGTAACTTCGGGTCGGGCTGTCACATAAGGTGGTGTCTTGTTACGTTCACCGCCTGGTATCTGACGCTTTTCCAGGAATAGGTTTTCAAAGATTAAATCATGTGTCACTTTATCCCATTTATATCTATTATCAAATATTTCATTGTGTAACATATATAGCATATATTAGTCAGGATAAAATACTGGTGAATGAAAAATAAATAAATGAATACCTTGCATCACCAAAAGCACGTGTTGGTTCTAATCCTCCGAATACTCTTCCATGTGAAATGATATTTCCTTCGTCAGGATGTTCGGCTTGTAACCTTTTCACTTCATTTTCATTCCGGCCAGTCATATCTTCAGTTAACGGTATTGCCTTCCAATCCCCAGTCTCTGAATCCTTAATACCAATAATTGCCCTCGAATCACCAGTAGATGCCACATATAAATTTTTTTTACTAGAATCAATATATGCCATTAATGCACACGATCCAGCTAATGCGGTAATTATTCCTTCTTCAATCATAATTCCAGAGGCTTGGTCTTTGACGTCTTTTAATGAATTTACAAGTTTTTCAATTGAACGAAAAACTATTTCATAATCTAAACTTAAAAATGCATTCTGAATTGTGTTTTTTACAAGTTGTATCTCATCACTATTCCCCAACGTCACATACGCCTTATCCAATTGCTGCTTAATAAGAGGTATCAAGTTTTTGCTTAGATATTGAGAACAATTCCATCCACTATGTCCATCAAAAACTCCAAAAAACAATTTATCTCCCTCATTCGTGTTATATATCATCTCGATTTTTGTGTCTTCTATTGGACTATTTGAAGCAACTTGGTTAGTGTCATATCGCCATACAAGTCCATTAGTAGATTTATTAGGTAGGGTTCTGGTAAATTGGTTCTCTCTTAATTTTGCAGTCGCTTCTTCGAGTGATAAAATCTTTTGTTTTCTCTCTTTTGACTTAGTACTCTCGTAATATTCTTTTGCACGCAAGTAAAAGTAAATTGATGCCCCAACACCACCAAGCGCAAGAGTTCCAAATAATTTAATTATCCCGCTATTTCGTTTTACGTTATCGGTGTTCGAATCGCTTCCGCCATGTTTTGCATGCGAAGAATTGAGGCGAGGTCTAATATGACGAAAAACGAATAAAGTTGGTATTGAATGCACATTTGTAGAACGTGATACATATCTTTGGGTCTGACGTGGAATTTTTGTACAAACAGTACTTAGATTTCTTCTTAGCAGCATCGATGACTTTGGCGAAGCTAATGAAGCTATCACAGTTGCTGTTGTTTTGGAATACATTTTTGGGGAAGAAAATTTTTAGACGCAGATCATTTGGTAATTACTCCCGATTGTGTAACATTAACTGGAACATCAAAGTTATTAGATTTTTTTTAATAATTCGACGAATTCATATATAATGACAAAGTCTATATTGTGATTTTAATTATTGAATTATTGATTAATATTCTTGAAGCATATATCGTAATCTACAGCACCATAACCCGGTGATTGATTGACTATATAAATAATTTACCTTTTTTTTTTTTAATAAAAAAATCCTGTAACAAAAAAAATTAAGATGAATTTCATCTGAATGCTTTATTTTTCCACGCGATAATAATAATAATAATAATAATAGAGATCAAATAACTTACCTAGAATTTTACCACCCGTATGTTTTCTTCTAGCTTCATGATGATCAATGATACCGGAACTAGTGGTCAAAACTGTTGAATAGAAAAAGAACAAAAAAATTAGAATCGTAGCACAGCAGCAGCAGGTGTAATAACATACAAACCTAAGAATCCGAATTGACGTGAAGGAAGTAAGTTGTTAACCCATTTTTCGACATCTTCTAGTTTGATATTGAAACGCGGTGAGATCACACCACATTTATTTAGACGACCATTCAATTGAATGACAATTTTTCCTGAACGATGATCGTCAATCTCTTCGAATTCACCAATGTAACCTTTTTTTTATATTCAATTGTTATAAATATAAGTTTAATTAGTGATATTTTTTTTAATAGGAAACTCGTCATATGTAGCATAGTAATAAACACCACTCGAATGCAAAAAAATCCCATGGCGTGTAAGTACTTGCAATATTCAATTTAATCTCTCGAAGCATTAAAAAACAAAAGTCACAAATTAAATAAATCTAGACTTTTATTCAGTTATAACTTCGATTAAGGATTTTCTGATTCTCATTGATAAAATCATTACCATGTTTTTGCATGACTAATAAAAACTTCACGACGACCTTTGATGAAGGTCTTATTAGCACTTGTCGTTTGCCACGTTTCTCAGCATTGACAATGTTAGTAAGCGCATCATTCTACTCAATTAAATTAATATTGGTTATTAAATTCCCCGGATGTCAAGAGAACAACAACTTTTTTCTTTTAACAAAAAGAGATACATACCAAAACCGAAATTCTGACCATGTTTCAGTATGATTTATATATCTAAAAGCGAAGGATTTGTGACACGAAAGTGCTAAATATTTAAATATTTTCAATTCATTTAATATTTGGATCCAATTTATATATCAAAAGACTCTCGGGTATTATTACCTCTTGTTGCCGAAACGTTAGGAAAAAAAAAGAATGTACACAAAAATTTTCTCATTTTTGAAGATTTTACCTGGCCAATCACACTTTCCAATTGCAAGTCAACCTATAAATCGATTATCTGCAGAACTTTAAATTTTTATTCTACTGCTTCAATTTCTAAGTTGTCTAAATCATGCCAACTGTAAATGTCGACAAGGAAGATCTTTATTCGACACTTGGAAAACAGTATAGTAAATATATGAAATATAGTCTTGCATTTCGTGATTATTATTATCATTCTACAATTCTTAATTGCAAATGGAACATTACACTTGTTCATTCAATTTGACAATTAAAATATGCAGCTACTGAGGAGTTTCGTGAGTTATGCTTTGAATTTGGTATTGAGCTAGAAGAGGATGTGAGCTATAAACATTTATCATCCTTCTTAACATTTTGTGTCCAAAGAAAATATATCAATTCTCTTTCTTCACCATATTATTGAACAAGTAAGACCTCGGAAAGTAGCGTTGCCGCCGAAGCAGGTGGAATCCCTGAAAGATCACTGTTAAAGATAGATATACCTGCTAATAGGTTGATTGAGTTTTCTTTGCTTTTTCTTTATTGAAACGTTATACCTAACATCTTTCATTATATTGAATTAAGATACGATCTTCTTTGTCAAGAAGGAATATCACGCGCTCTTCTCATCTTTCAAGAAAAGATCAAACCACCTATTTTTCGTGTACAGAAACCAGCAAACGGAATAGTGGAAAAAATCATCATTAAATCAGAGGTAAATAATTTTCTTTTGATCTGATTCTGGTTCTGATTTATCTGAAATAATAATGAACACGGTTCATTCTATAAGACAGCTCAAATTAGACCTCATGTTGTTGGTGCAATTCTCAGAGATATTCATTTTACTGAGAAGTCTTATAATAATTTTATCGATTTACAAGATAAATTGCACAATAATCTTTGCAGGTAATTGATTGTTCCTCAAAGTAAATTAATAAATTTTTAATAATTGTTGTTGTTCTTATAGAAAACGTACACTTGTTGCTATTGGAACTCATGATCTTGACACAATCAAAGGTCCCTTTACTTACGAAGCTCTCGCACCCAAAGAAATTAAATTTAAGCCTTTGAATCAGTCGAAGAGTTTTAATGGGGAAGAATTAATGAATTTTTATGAGGTAAATTATTTAATCAATTATGAATCAATGACTACTATTATTTTTATTCATGTTAATTTATAGACAGATAAACATCTTGGAAAATTCCTTCATATTATTCGCGATTCTCCTATTTATCCGGTGATCTATGACGCAAATAGAGTTGTTTGTTCTTTACCACCCATCATTAATGGGGAACACTCAAAGATTACCTTAAATACCAAAAACGTTTTCATTGAATGTACCGCAACTGATTTGACTAAAGCCAAGATTGTCTTAAACACCGTTGTTACAATGTTTTCAGAATATTGTAAAGAAAAATTTACGTAGGTGTTCATTACTTTTTTCTATCATTTAATATCTTATGTATAAATTCGATTTAACTGATTTATCTTACTAGAACTGAACCTGTCGAAGTTATATATCCTGACGGGAGTTCTCATACTTATCCGGATTTAGAACCACGCGCTATGAATGTAAAAATTGACTATATAAATTCGTGCATTGGATTAAATCTTTCATCTGCGCAAATTGTCTCACTTTTAAATAGAATGTCGCTTGGGGCAAAAATATCGACTATTCATGATAATCAAATAGAAGTGGAAATTCCACCAACTAGAGCTGATATTTTACATCCATGTGATATTATGGAAGATGTTGCTATCGCCTATGGTTTCAACAATATTCCAAAGACTTTCCCTACGAGTGCTACGGTAGGGAAAGCCTTGCCTATCAATAAATTAAGTGATTTGGTTCGAAGAGAGTTTGCATTGGCTGGATGGACTGAAGTTTTGCCATTAATATTGGTAATGAATAGTATATATATAATTTTTCATTATTTATATCTCATACTTATGTCATTGCTATTTATTAAATTATATTTTTAAAGTGTTCACATGAAGAAAATTTTGCATTTCTCGGCAAAGATGATGATGGAACGACTGCCGTAAAATTGGCAAATCCTAAAACTGCTGAATATCAAGTTGTTCGCACTTCTCTCCTTCCTGGTATATTGAAGACTTTGAGAGAAAATAAAAAACATGCATTACCAATTAAACTCTTTGAAGTTTCGGACGTAGTTTTTAAAGATGACTCTTTAGAAAGACGTGCTCGGAATGAAAGGAGAGTCTGTGCTATATATAGCAGCAAAACATCGGGATTTGAGGTTAGTAATAATCGTAAATAATTTATGATGTATGTATGTGCTCAATAATTATATTACTTACTTTATAGGTAATTCATGGATTATTGAATTATCTCTTGGAAATGCTTCATGTCAAATTAATTTCGCCATCTGAAGATGAAAGTGGTTATTTCATAAGGGAATCATCAGGTTGATTTTATTTATTTTATATTGGTGGTTTTTTTTTTTTGAATTTTATTTGAAAATTTATTAACTTATTAATTTCTACCAGATCCAACCTTCTTCCCAAAACGTAGCGCCGATATTTTCTTACGAAATGTCTCTAATACGACCACCACAAAGATTGGTAGTTTTGGTATCATACATCCTAATGTATTAGAAAATTATGAATTGGTATATCCATGTTCAGCCCTGGAATTTAATTTGGAGAAATTTCTTTAATTTATAATTTAATTTTGAAATAGAAAATAAATTTTCAAGATCTTGTTTTAGCCAATTATAGCAGCGAAGAAATACTGCGGCTCAGATATCTATTATCTTATCACACTTAGTGTAGCATTAAAATTTTTTCGGAAATTTTTTTTTTTCTAAAAATTTATTATTATTTCAGATTGCGAGAATAAACATGTCGCAAATATCAAAGAAAAGAAAGGTACAACATTATTATTCTTCACAACTTTTTAATAAAATACGAAAGAAGAGAGTATTCTTTGTTAACCAATTTATTGCATCTACATTCGTTTGGTTGATAATGATGAAAATGTATATCTGGCACCTCTTGTTTGAATGCTTTTCTCTTAACGAAAAACATAATGCACTGAACTCCAAAAAATCTGAATCAAACCATCTTGCTATACTTGAAATTTTGGAAATGAAAATGGATCTATTAAAACTGTTAATAAATTTATATTAATATTTTCTTTGTTTAATTATATATGTATATCGATCTATTTGAAAATTAATGATCGAATCGATAATTAATTAGTTCGTGGCGGATGGAGTTTTTTTTGCAGAGTTGAATGAATTCTTTACACGAGAATTAGCCGAAGAGGGTTATTCCGGGGTGGAAGTGCGAGTTACCCCTGCACGGACGGAACTTATTATACGTGCTACTCACACACAAGAAGTGCTTGGTGAAAGAGGACGTCGAATCCGTGAACTTACTGCTTTAATTCAAAAAAGATTCAAATTCCCGGAAAATACCGTGGAACTTTACGCGGAAAAAGTACAAAATCGTGGTCTTTGTGCTATTGCTCAATGTGAATCACTTCGTTATAAATTACTTGCTGGACTTGCTGTGAGAAGGTTCGCATTTTCTTATTGATCAGTTCAATCATTCAATCATTTAAATGATCCTTTATTTTTAGAGCTTGTTATGGCGTGCTTCGTTTCATCATGGAATCCGGTGCAAAGGGATGTGAAGTGGTGGTTTCTGGTAAATTAAGGGCTGCTCGTGCAAAATCCATGAAATTTGTTGATGGATTCATGATACATTCTGGTCAACCAATTCGTGATTACGTTGACACCTCAGTGCGTCATGTTATGTTAAGACAAGGTGTATTGGGTATCAAAGTGAAGATTATGCTGGCAAGTGATAATATTATTATTTTTGTCAATTTGGTATAGAAATTTATTTCTTACAAGCGTCATCATCATCCTCATCATCATTATTATATAGGAATGGGATCCAACTGGAAAAGTCGGTCCTAAGAATCCAATTCCTGATTTAGTCACTGTTATGGTTTGTATAGATTGTATTTTATATATTATGTTCACATTCAATTTAATAGAACATGATTTTCTTGCTTCTTGTAGGACCCCAAAGAAGAAAATCCCATTACAACGCCAACATCTGAAGATTTCCAAGGTCATCCGCCTCAGGATATTCCAGTCGCCCCTTCTTCTCCTGTTCAGAAAGATCTTGTCCCTCCACCAGATTGGGCTGTTTCTCAGGATCTAAATCAACAGCAACCCACGGAAGGATGGGATTGATCAATTATTTGTTTTTAGAATATGGAGAATTTCTTTCGACGCTAATATATTTTTTATTGGTAGTTGCACTTTTTATTGTTTTGATTTAGATATTTTTATTTGACACTGTATAAAATGTTGTTTAAAAGATATTGATAATGATAATATTAAAAAAAAAGATATTGGAACCGATTTTTTTTGTTAGGAAATTATATGTTGATCAAAAGAGAAATGATTTTTCACGTTACATTTGTGGATTTTTATTTAATATTGTTCTCTTAAACAGTATCCATTCTTCGACTCATGGAGACATTGAAAGATGTCCCCGAGTTTTTCGAAACGCAACTTGATGAATCTTTAACTGCGAGAACCGAAAGTCTAGGTGGGACTTTAAATTAGGCATTGCATCTTATCCCATTGAAATGTTTTAGAAATCGCAGCGAAGGCTGGACCACGTTTTATATTTCATTAAACTTACACCTTGGACATCGTTCTATTTAGCATCTTTTCGTGAACTGGGTCCTCCTGACCTTTGTCATATAACTAAAGCCAACTCTAAACCTGGCGTGAAGGAAGTGAGTAAACTTATTATATTATTCACTTTCACAAAAATATATAAGTGATTTATTTTATATATTTATAGGTTGGGTCTTATCATTATGTATCAGGTGTTGATGCATCATCTTCGGCTACATTAGCTGCTTATCTAAACTCCCTCACTTATGCTTTGGTAAATTCTTATTTGATTCATGTAATAAATATTACGATATATCTGAATCTTCTTTATGTTGACTCCTCAATAGGAAGAGACTCATGCTTGGTTTTCAAAATCAGCACTTTGGCGAATTCGATCTGGGGTATATTGGTAATTAGAATATTTGGATAGCTTCAGTTTTGTGAAATTGGTCGCATCTATCATTGTCTCACATAATATATTTCTACATATATCTAATAAATAAATAAATAAATATATATAAGCTGCTTTAATGCATTCTCTCGAGTTGATGTCAGAGTTGAAGTTAAGATTCCTGGGGGTGTGGAAAGCTATGTTGTAGACTTGCGGGGTGAAAGGTATTACAAGTTTATATTGTGAGTTACTATTATTGTTAATACTCAAGTTTAAATATACCATATGATTTGTGTGATTAGACATGAGGCAACTCCAGAAGTGTGGCAAGAAACTTATATTTCAGCAATCCTTCGCGCTATTCTCTATTCCGATGATGCCAACTATCGATTGGCTGGTTTCCGTAAATTAGATCCTATTCCTAACCTGGAAGCTGAAAATCATTTTCTAGAAGCAGCAGAAAATCTTTTTTTCAAAGGTTTAATAACAATAACCGTTACTTTTTTAGACCTTATATTGTGATCTCTAACTGTCAAAAATTTAATAGGATATCAGTTAGGCTCTGATCCTGAGATTCAAGTCGCGAATGTAGTGAGTAACCACTTAACCGCCGGAATCATGAAATATTTCAGTCAAAATTTTAGATTTGGGCCTGCTGTCAATCTTTTTGAGAAATATATCCTTTTCTGTAAATTTTTCTAGTTATCTTTAATTATTACTTCTTTTACATGCCTTGATTGATAATTACTATATCCTAAAGATCCTGAAGTAGCGGCTTTGCTAGCGCAATCGTATATTGGAATGGGTAATCATATACATTTTTTTTAAAGTATATTTTCGTCTTTTTGTCGGCTCATAAAATTAATTCATTACTTTCCTTTTAAGATGAGGAAATTAAGGGTGTTAATATTCTATATGATGCTTTGAAACAAAATGCAATGAGCTATCCTTTACTACACGTTCAAGCAGATTTTTTATTAACAAAGGTAGAATCACAACTTTGTTTAACCCTCTTATTATTCTTTTGGCACTAATCTATATTTTAATTATAATATAAAAGATGATTAATAAATCTTAATGCGGTTTCAATATAGGGCCGAACCGAATATGCGCTTAAACTTGCTAAACAAGCTGTGAATTCTGCTCCTTCAGAATTTGTGACATGGGCAAAATTGACTGAAGTGTATATAGAACTTGACGATTATGAATCGGTTGGTGCCACATTAAATTGTTCTTTATGAATACAAATTATAATATTTTTTGATTTGTTCTTTATTTCATCATTTCACTTATTACGCGCTTCCTTTGCAATTTAATTATTTGGCTGGAATCCCCTTGTTTGATTTCTCTAAAGGCGTTATTGACATTGAATTCTTGCCCCATGTTTACCTATAACGAAAGAGATATGCATCGCATGCCAACCCCTGCAAAAACTCATCTCCCAATCAAAACAGAGATAGCAAATGCTGGTCTAGATGAAGATAATGGACGTGATAATGAGGTAGATATATATTTTCAATTATCTTACTACTTTGACATTTAATTGAGAATAACAAAATTTCTATATAAATTAGGTTGATGTCGCTCTATTGCGTTTACCAGCGCCTTCTCTGCGTGGAACCTTTGCGAAGGCTTATTCACTATTGACACGCTTGGTTTCCAAGATTGGATGGGATGAACTTTTAAAATGTCGATCGTCAGTTTTTGTGATGGAAGAAGAATACAGATTACAAAAAGCAGCTGAAGAAGAGCGACATAAACAAACTCAGAAACAAGCTGGAATTAATCAAACTCGTATCTCTGAATCAAAAGAACTTAAGAAAGATCAAGAAGTTGTAAAAAAAGGGCAAACAAATAAAGTTAACAACACCGAAAAATCTATACCGAAAATAACTTTATCTAACAACACTGAAGATGATCAAGCTATAAATGATGGAAATGCTTCCGCGCAAGCTGAAATTCGTGACATTGATCAATCTAATACTAATATTAATGAAAAACACGCTAATAATGTCAAAGATAATGCAGAAACAAAAACTTCAGAAGCGCCTGATGAAATAGAACAGCAATCAAACAATGAATTAGAATCTATACCAAAAGAAAACAATTCAACTGATCCAGAGACTTTAGATGAAATTATCTTGGATGATGACGAAAAAACGAAAACATCAGAGGAAAATGACGCGAAAAGTGATAAAGAAAAGGTCCCAGAGCAAATATCTTTTATAGGACCTGAACTAGAAAGACCATCTCAAGCAGCCAACGAGGAGAAAAACGATGCCCAAAGTCAACATGATGAACAGAACAAGGTATTTATATGAAACATTCATAAACATATTTAAGAATTTTCATGTTGACTTTTTATATTCATTAAAGGATGCGGTAACGAAAAAGGATTATGCATTTTCTTTCAATAACAAGCGATTATGTGAAAGGTATGATTTTTGAATACAACTGAATTTATAGACATGTATATATATTAATTATATTACAACAAAATAACCTAATTATCTTATAGATGGCTTGATAATTTATTTATGGTTTTGTACGAGGTAATTATTTTTTTTTGTCTATTAGAATAAGTTTAACTTATTTATGGACATAAATTAATATAAAAAAACTAAAACTATTCACTTACCCACCTTAATAAAATATTTACTAAGGATTTAAGAGTATATACTGTGTGGCGCTCTGAGGTTTCTCATTATAAGGCTCATGGATTATTGTATCGCAAAACTGGAACAGAATGGGAAATCTTGGGTGATTTGGCTTCTAGATTACATCATAAGGTAAGAAAGAAGTTTTCACAATCAACATATCCAGCATTCTGCAGGCATTCTATATTCCCTTGTATTTTATCTAATAGGACGAAGCGAAAGAAGCCTATCAACGATGCCTCGATTTTAGATTTTCAGCTAAAGCATGGCTGAAATTATTGGAATTTTATGTGGAAGAGGGGGATGTGCAACGTACGCTTGGTGCAGTAGTAAAATTGACGGTTTATTACGAACGATGGTATCATGAAATTATTGTAAGATCAATTTTTAATGCTTATTATATTAGATAATCCTTTTTTTTCGCTAATGTTTTGCTTGCTTTGCAGTATCCATCAATGGTTGGATATAATCTCAATAAATTAATACGTAACGAAGGACTCTCCAAGATACATTATAATCTTATCTCAATGAAATTATCGCCACCTATATCTAAATTAATCTCAAGGTATATTACTCTTGCCGAAACATTCAAAATACCAGGATCAGACTTCTAGACTTTAATAAAAATTTATGAAATGCAAGAATTTATAGATTAGAGGTGTCTACTACCTCCTATGATATATTATATATTTATTAATCTTAATAATATTTAGAGCTAGTAGACAATAGAAGGCGAATTTCGTCAGGAACGGAAATTTTCGTTTTATGATGAGATTCAATTAATTTAGGTCTAATAATTAGAATAATAATTACTCTCTT